TTTTTTAAAAATAATTACATGCTATCATGTTGGTAAATATCCACCAACGCTTGATTGTCGAGATAACAATGGCGAAAGCGGAGTTGGAGTGCCTGGAGAGAGTGTATGTGGTGAAAGATGACGTCCAGATGTTGGCATGAATGCAGACTTTTCACCGGATGACAGTGATGGCACTAAATAACACTGTTCATACTCGTATACGAAAAACTTTGTTAAATTCATAGTCAAAAACAATGCATACAATTTATGAGCTTCGCTTCCTTTACAATTTACGCTAGGCTTAAAATGGCCTCAAATTAGAATGATGTAACGATGAATTAATAAAGAAGAAGATGGAAAGATGTATACAAACTGAAAGAATATTGGCAAGAAAGCGTCTACCCCTTTTCTCCCCTGGGCTCCATTCTGAAGAGTACACTTCAAAGACTACGACTCCTTTCTTTTAATTCAACTGATATTGTTGAAAAATGGACAATTTTAATCTTCATCAGCTTCTAAGCGATGAACTTTCGGCGTTTATCATCTCATACTTAGCGGAGCCCGTTAAAAAGTGAAGACAGTATTTTTTTCCAACTGAAGGTTACAGAATCCAAGGTCAAAAAAAAAAGACTGGCGTAGCATCTTTTGAAAGTTGGGTCGCCTTAGTTGGGAACAAGTAATTAAACAAACACCCGAACTTTATCTTACCACAGCCACATATCTTCTTAAAATTTCCTTCAAAGGCTAGATGTTCAATTGAACTCAAAGCAAAATTTAGCACAGAGTAAATGAAAAGTCAACAGAGTTTCAGACCACAGAGATTGTAATTCGAACTTGAAAAACACTAACATTACAATTTCTTTACACTCGTCTCATTTACACTTTACACAATGAGTACATTGTGCATAACAAAAGTAAGATAGAATGTAGACGTAGCAGTGAGCGGATTGGTTAAGGCCTTTAATGCTCACTATGTGTCCTTTCAAAAAATAGTTAAACCACTAAGGCTGATATCTTTTCAATTAGAGTAAGGACCTTCTCAAATAAGAAGAAGCTCTATCCGGCGCATCTTAGTCTCCTATTCATAAGGTCACCTCATAAAGCCCACTTATGCCTCCTTGCCGTTCTGATCCCTGCATGGCAAAAGTAATGCTCATAGTAATTGACTTACCCTCTAAACTGCCGCCAACAGCTCCCAAAAGTTGACGTACATCGCCTGCCGACGGCGGTTGAGGGGATGTATGCCCGAAATTTGGCGAAACAGACGAAATTGAAGGTGTTAATGACAGTTGAGCTATGGGAACTGAGATGTCCACAGGTGAGCCGTCTGGACGCACATGCGTTCGTAAATGGCGAGTTATCATATCGCGTCGGCTCTGAAATTTGCGAGTGCGCGATGGTTTAATGGTTTTGGGTAAGCATTTAGATGTCCTACCGCTGCATACTGGCATAACGGGCATTGATAGGGTTTTTCGCCTGTGTGGGTGCGCTGATGTGTGCTGAGATGGTCCGATCGAGAGAATACTTGTCCGCAAAGTTGACAGCTGTATGGCTTTAGCCCCGTATGAAGCCGCATATGCCTAAATCTCGATTTTAGAATGATATGAAGCTATTTTGTGAGCATTCCGTATTGCGCACCTCGTCAACATATCACTGCGTCCAAAACTCTTATTACATACGTTGCATTTGTGAGATTTTGCACCATCTGCTTCTGCTATCGCAGAAGCCGAGCTGAATTGATGAAGATCAACGAACAATTGATTTTCAGTTGTATGAAAAGTAACCTACCGATCTCGATGGCGGGATGCAATATGCTTCGCTAAGCGATCATGAAGAGCGAATGCCTAAAACATCCAAACTGCTTGTGTTGGGTTTTGCATTGAAACGGAGCAAAGCATAGCCATCTAGTCATAGTACCGTTACTTACCTGGCCACATGTAGCGCAAACAAACGGTCCAGTGGTAAAATTGCGGCTCACGTCCGATTCCGAACGACTTCGCCTCCACAACGTTGCACCTTTTACAGGTCCAGCACCCATGCTGGTTCCGCTCACATCTACCGTACTCTGTCGTAATAATGGAGCACGAGGTAAATGGTCGGTTGGAGGGGCGAGTAGTTGTGGATTTGGAACCTGGAAAGATACCAGCTTACATATGAAGTTTGTAAGTTTTCAAATGCTGACATACTTGAAGTAAACCATTATTCATTGCAGTATTATACATGTTGACCGCTTGTAGCGCAACAATTTGACGTTCCATCCACATTTGGATTTGAGTTTGCCCGCCTAGCGCCTGCCGCATAGCATTCTCGAGCTAAATAATGTCTTTTACATTCACTCAGTAGCAAAATTCATTTGTTTAGTATTGATGAAATTTTGTGTTGAAATATCACCAATATCACCGTTTAAACACTTCAAAATTAAGGACAGCTCTACCGTAGAGTGTACCT